TCGTTGCAGAGATTATCTATGCCTAAATTCCAGAATTTCAAATCTTTTTGCAAATTCAAATAATCTAGACAAGCATTGATAACAGGTTTGATTGTTCACAAATTTTTTAAATCAAATATTTTTGCAGATTGTAATTTTTCTCATCTAAGATTAGGTCAGGTAATTAACAATGTTCTCATATCTTTAAACAGCCTATGATGCAATTTCTAGATGATCAATCCTTGAATCGATGTAAATGCAAATCCAGACAAATAACCAATTGATTATCCTAACAGTATAATGAATCTATAATTTCAGCATCAATCTTTCAATCATCATAATCTAACTAACAGATTACTTAGACATGAAGATGAATGAACAAATCATAACTGAATAATACTGCATTAAAATAAGAAGAGTAATAAAACAGGGGTTCGAAATCTTCTCTATAAGAGTGCATAATTCTCTCCATAAAAAGCTTTGGATCAATCTTTCTCAAAGTCTCAATAGAAAATAACATACAAAGCAAAACAAAAGGCTGAAAAAACCTAAAATATAATCTAAAAACGAACTGAAGCCAAAGTGCAAATAGTAATACTTCTGGCCAAAGTTGTAAATCTTCTTTTAACTTTTAATTAACTCGGGCAACGTCTTTTAGGAGGGGTGACGAGCGTCACCAATGGGTGGTGACAGTTGTCATCCATTGTACAATGTGTCTCTTTGTTGCTCTTATCGGAAAGGTCTTATGTTTTGCTCCAAATTTTTCATATGAGCTCTAAACATACTTTAACCTGTAAAGATTCGAATATGACTCTACAAAAATCTAAAAGACTATAAATAAGACTTATATCATAGTTAAAAACAATTAAAAAAAAACCATAATATACCGGATAGCTCTTGTAATCTCTACTACGAACAAAAGTATGAAGGTTAATAAGAGATTCACACGGAACCGAACAAGCGACTACAACTATTTTATCAAATGTTTTGGAAAGTGAAGCAAAAACACTAGTAATAGCAATGCAACATTTCTAAAGGTTATCGACGAGTTATATTTGAAGAAGATTCAAAGAATCTGCAGAGTTTGGTAAATAAGCAGAGCCTACACTTTGGGACGATAAACTGGTTAAGAGAAATTTGGTACTAGTCCTCACGATTTGAGGAGGTCAAATTCACATAAATTCTAAGAGAACAGAATAAATTGACTCGTATATTAGCAGTTTCTAATAATTTTTGTAATGTTTCTTACATTTATTTTGACTTTGTTCCTTATGTACTTGATTAAACAATTCAGTATGATTTTTCAAGATCACATTATAAGCATTTTCGAGAGAGGGAGGGAAAGAGGGGGGGGGGGAGAGAGAGAGAGGGATGAATGGTTGTTTTTAAAGGAATAGAAAGTGATAAAAAGAAATATTGTAAAAATTATATAAAATATTAAAATTTATTTTATAAACACGATTTTTAAACATATTATTATAAAATAGTTTCACTATTCTAGTTTATCTTTAAATGTCATTAAAAACTTAATCAAAAATTCATAAATAATTAATTACTAGAAAATATAAAACTTTGATCACTTCAGAAAATACTATAATAAATATTTGTAATCTCAAAAAGATATGACAGAACAAAAACAAATTTAAGGGTCAAATCAGATTTATTTAGTTCAACTACAAAAGTCTTAAATATAAAGTTTGAAGTTACACAAAAGTCTCAAATTCTATAATTTGCCTTTTAATTAAAGTTTATCATATTTTTAAAATATTTAGATTTTCAATTCTCATTTAGATTATATGTTTACTTTTTATCTTGGTCAAAAGGTAAATGTAAACTCATTTAGACTATTGCTAATTATTCTATTCTTATCTGAATTACATTTGTCTTTTTATTTAATTTGATTTTTTTAATTGAAAACTTTTTATATATATATTTAAATTTTTTAATAATCATATTATGAATTGACAAGCAAGTTGGACTGTGGTTGAGACTTATGATTGTTGATTACTTTTTGCCCCTTATATGAAAAGACTTTAATTACTCTTAATAAAATTAACAAATTAATATAATATAATTTTTAATTGATTTTTTCGTTTTTTCAAATCTAAATTTCTAAATTCGAGTGTATATCATAAGAATATATATAACTAGCATAAATCACAAAAAAATCAATCTTAATTATTTTCTAAAACTAATTTTAATTTGATCGTTTAACTTATTAATATTTTTGATTAACCTAATTGATTTATGTGGCCACAAGTAAAATTCTAAATCTTAAAATTTGATTTATGCGGTCAAAAAATAATATATCTCATGAAAATTATATTTTTTAAATATATTAATTTTGATTTCAAATAATTATAAAATTTGATTTTTTATTTATAAATAAACTCAGGCTCTTAATTTTTTTAAAAATTAATCGAACCCCGCACCTTGTGCGGGGAAACACCTAGTTAATATATCAACATGTATGGCGATCATGTTAATTACAAAATTAGAGACTGTTTGAATACTAAAAGCAAGGTAGATTCAACATCAAATAGATACCATTTAGAAAACCAGAAAACAAGATTAGAAAATAGATAGCTTTTTTTTTTGTTCAACTGAAAATAGATAGCTCATATGAGGTTTATTATGGGCATAGAACACACAAATAAGATAAAATATTTTACACTGTCACTAAGAACAAAATAGTTTTGGATAAATAAACTGTTCGATCAATAGCATTAGTTACACACACATGGTCGTTACACACATAATTACATAAAATATATTTTGCTAGAAACCATAGATACATAGGCTAATGGACTTGATTGTGGTCTCTTGGGCTTATGCACTAATAGAGACATTAAACTCTATAGTATAATCCATATGTACATCGACATTATGTATATTAGGTTAGGAGCTGTCAATATATTAGGTTAGGATTAGAAAGACCTTACCAGAACCCTACCTGATACCAGCGTACCACAAACCCTACTTGTCCACCAAAGTTTCCTCTTTTCGTTCGCTCTTTCTTTTCATTACTTGTATCAAAATATTCCTTATTCGTTATCCCACTTCTGATTGATGAACTATCATTTATAGCCCAAGAAGCATGGATACAAAGAAATAAAGATAACCTTACATAGTTAAATCTGAGAGATCCATAGCAACGAATCCCCGAAGTGACAATCAAAGTCAGCCTTGAACATTTGATAGCTCCAAAGGATTGAGAAAATGCTTATTAATATTTGTACACTATGTGAAATGTAGTTACACTCTTCAGAGGCCGATATTTGTGGGGCAATAGCCTAAGCACAAAGTATAAGACAAACAAGAAGCTCGGACATGATTCTCCTCAACATCAGTCCATAACAAGCAAGAAGACTTTGGATATTCAACTCCCTTCTTCAAAGAAGTCTCTTATAATGAACGGGAATACAACAAATCGTGTGTAAAATCTATTTTGATATAGTATTCTTAAAGATCAAACCAGATCTTGTAACGTGAAAAAATCACATCAGTTTAGACTCTTTCTGTAAGAATATTTTTATGTATGACCTATGTGTCTTTCGGTTTAATTATAAAGATTAATTTCAAATTAAAGTTATGAATTTCAATATAAAAGACGATACATGATTTTTTTCTAACAGCAAACTTTGATTTATATAGAATTGATATGGTCATGATAGAGATAGGTTGTTATCCAACATGGTGAATAGTTAGTTCCTGAATAAAATTGGCCATTTGGTGGACTTTGTTTCATTAAACTATGTGTTACCTTATTACAAGTTTTTTTAACATGAGAAATGTCATAAGAATGGATGTTACTTAACCAATTTCTAATATCATCAAGTTGAGTAGATATGCTTATATCTTGATCATTAGATTCTAGTAAATTAACTAAAGTCTGGCAGTTCCCTTCGAAGTTAATAAAGTCAAAGCCCATGCTCCAGGAGTGTTGAATAGCCGTGAGTATCTTTTTGCTTCTGCTTCAAGGCACGAAGTTGTTGATTCCAAATTACTTGCCCCCCAGTATTTCGTATAACCATATGCGTCTCGTATTATCCATCCACCTTTGGAGAGTCCTGTATGAGGGTTGGCATTTTAGGTAACCAGGTCTTGGTCTTTCCCAAGAACTTTGCAAAAGTGGAGCAGTTGTATTTATTACTGGTGCACCTGTCGTGTTTTTAATCCACTATGTAACATCAGCTATAGATTTATTGATGTCTTTGCTAATCAAGATATGCTTATGTTGGAAAATTAAATCATTGCGGGATTTCCATATTCGCCAAAGTAGCCAGTAGAGAAATAGTTTATCTGTTTCAGAAAGACCAACGATTGTTTATGCATCAAGAAGGAGCCATATGATTTGGATGTATTAATAACCCTCTTGCCTTATTTTATTATAAGATCATTTCATGTATATATGAAAGGTTGTAATGGTGTGTAGTAAAGGTTGTAATGTTTGTTAAGAAGTGTGTTTCTATTATAAAAAGAGAAACCATAATTTAACCAAGTAACGAACTATAAAAGAACAACACACACACATATAAAAACTGTAGAGAGAAGAGAAAGAAGATAAAGGATTTTGATTCCATGTCCATCAATAGGAATCGTAAGGTGTTTGGAGATTAAGGAGGAGAAGATCAGTTGAAGTATTGATCTCATAACAAGTTCAAGGAAAACATGGATCAAGGTTAGTGTTTCTCTCTTTCTCTATAAGAAACTGTTAGGGTTGGATTAAAACAAATCTAGATCACTTTATTATTTGTGCAGCTACTTCATTTTATTCATTAATTAAAAGCGGCCAGGGCCAAAAGATGGAGTGCATTATTTGCCAGAGAATCCGCGTCACAATTGTTTTTTCTTGGAATATAGCTAAATTCGATGCTAGAAAACAAAAGAGAGATAGAGTGGATATCGAAGCTGATTCCATGGAGCTGTTTGATGATCGATCTTCTGTTGAGCGAATTGACGAGTTCTCGGGAGTCGGAGCAAGTAGTGACCGTCGTTTGTCCCAGATCTGCTGCATGTCAGAGGCCAGCAAGGAGGGCCTTAGCTTCCGCGAGAAGAGGCAATCCGGTTTGGGGACACGACGAAGATTTATTTTCGAGCACTCCCAGATCCCGATTTGTAATTGTCCATCTTAGTCCAGCGATTTCTGCATCTTCTTTCCATGCCGCATCAGAACAGATAATTGTCCTGGATATAAGGTAAGATCTGGTGTGTTCCTGTCACTGCTTTGGGTTTTGCTGATGGGTTTGTTGCTCTTTGCAATCTTGTGCCATTTGCCATTCCCGCGCTTCTCTGATCGCTTTCTCTATAGTGTCTGCAGGTGTGACATCCTGGTTATTGAAGATCTTCTTATTCCTGACGGACCAGATAGCCCAGCAGATCCATGGGTACAGAAAAACATTTCTGGTTGGTGGTAGATAGATCTGTTCCTTTAGACTGTGGAGTCCCTGCAGAGGTGAGGGTATTTCGCTTATAATCACCGGACTGGTGGAGGGGGCTAAACGCCAAATGCTGACTGTGAACGGGCAGTGGAAGAGTAAGTGGAGGATTGACTTCGACGCCGTGCAGTGGGGGCATTCATAGAAGGCTGTGGAGATGCGTTCCATGAGTTTTTCGCCAACAGGGAGAGCTTCTTTGAGAATTTTCCAAAAGAAGAGTTGAATCTTTGGTGTTGTCTTGACGTCAGTGTTCCAGTTGATTTGAGATGTGATTTGACCTGGTATTGGAGGTGATACAGGAGTAGTCGCCACTTCAACATAACCAGACTTTGTTGTGTAGTCTCCTGACTTCGTGGGGATCCATATAAACTTGTCTTGTGCCTCGAGGGAGCTTGGGAGAAGCTTGAGGATATCTTTTTCATACGCCGGGAGGAGCTCCCTTATACGATCAATATCCCATTCCGTTGAGTTTGTCCTTATGAGGTGGTCTACTGTGAGAAGCTGTGATAGGTAAGGGGCGGGGCCAATTGGTGTGATCGGTTCCTCGAGGGAGAGCCAGGGGGCTGACCAAATGTTTGTAGATTTGCCATCTCCAATGGATTTTCCTAACTTCTGCCAGAGAAGGTCTCTGCCACTTAGAATTCCTCGCCAACCATGGGAAGCCCCATTAGGTACTTCGCATTCTAGAAAAGGTTTGTCTACACAGTATTTCCCCATGAGAACACGTGCTAACAAGCAATTTGGGTGTTGCAGCATCCTCCATCCTAGCTTGGTCAGAAGGGCTTTATTGAAATCTTGGATGTCTCGGAGCCCTAATCCTCCATTCTTCTTTGGTTGAGTAAGTTTTCTCCACGCTGTCCAGCACATCCCTTTCTTCTCGGGATTTAAGTCCCACCAGAATCTCACTAAGCAAGATTGGATCCTTTTACACAGGGACAATGGGATTTGGAAGCATGACATGGTATAAGTGGGGATTGTGGAGAGTACGGACTTCAGTATGGTGAGTTTCCCTGCTGTAGATAATCTCCGAGCGGACCAGCTGACACTCTTTTGACGAATTCTATCCACAATGAGACTGAACAAATCTTTCTTTCGTCTGCCAAAGTGTTCTGGGAGCCCCAGGTATTTCCCAAGTCCTCCTTCCTTTGATATCCCGAGATCTCTTTTGACTTGTTCGCTCATCTCCAAAGGTGTCTTTGAGCCGAAGGTGATGGCTGATTTACCATAGTTAATGGTTTGGCCTGATGCTTCTGAGTACTATTTAATCACTTTGCAGAGAGCTTGACAGGTTTTGGGGTCTGCTTTGCAGAAAAACATGGTGTCATCTGCAAAAAGCAGATGGTTCACTTTAGGGCTATTCTTTGTGACTCTAATTCCTGGGAGGCATCCGGCAAGTTGGGCATTGTTGCAAAGGTTGGAGAGTACTTCGCTGCAGAGAATGAAGATGTATGGGGAGAGTGGGTCTACCTGCCTAATTCTGTTCTGTGGCAGTACCTTTCCTTGGGCTGCACCGTTGATGAGGTAAGAGAAGGAAACTGCAGTTATACATTGTACAATCCACTGGCAGAAAGTAGGATGAAAACCGAGTTTCTTAATAACTAGTTGGATGAAATCTCACTCCAGTATGTCGTATGCTTTACTCATATCAGTCTTGACCGCCATGGAACACCGTTTTCTTGCACCTGAGGTTTTGAGGAAATGTAGGATCTCATGTGTTATCAGGACATTATCCGAGATAGCTCTTTTTGGGACAAACGCAGATTGGTTTTCTGAGATAACATCTTGCAAAAGTGGTTGTAATATTCTTGTAAGTAATTTAGAGATTATTTTATAGTAGACGCTGCATAGGGCTATTGGTCTGTAATTCGCTACTGTCTTAGGACCTTGGATTTTGGGGATCAATCTAACATGCGTTTCATTGATTTTGGCAGGTAGATATCCCGAGAGGAAGAAGCCCTGAATTTCATTCACTACTGCCGTTTCTACTTGTTGCCAATGAGCTTGAAAAAATGCTGCTGAGAAGCCATCCGGCCCTGGAGCTTTATCCGGCGAAGCACGCCTGCTTGATTTCCTCTCTCAACGGTATGACAATTAGCTTTTCATTATCTGCTGCTGTAATGCGGGGTTTAAGGGCTTCGTTGACAGTGCTTCCTCTTTCGCCTTCTTCAGAGATGAATAGTTTTTGGAAGTAGTCAGTAATGACTCCTACTATTTTAGCTTCCTCAAAGACTGCATTTCCATTATGGTCTTCTATTACAGAGAATTTATTGACTGCCTTTCTCCCTTTTGTAGTGGCGTGGAAGTAGCCCGAGTTTTTGTCCCCCAGTGCTAGCCACTGCTGTTTGCTTTGTTGCTTCCAGAACTCTTCTTCCTTGTTGTAGGCTTCTTGTAAGGTATCATTGATGATGCGTATTTCAGCCTCAGTAGAGTTAGGACTTACCATTGCCTTATCTAGTAATTGTTTTTGTTTTCTTATTTTCTTCTGACTGTTATTGTGCTGCTCCTTATTCCAGGCTATTATCTCTATGTGGTTTGCTCTCAGCTTTGTTGATATTGTCTCCAGCTCTTCCCGTTGCCACACTTTCTCTATCAAGCGGTGCACTTCCTCTTTGTTTTGGAGTCTTCTATCATAGCGGAACAGACCTCGTCTTTTCTTGGAGCTTGAGTTGAAGTATGTGGCTATAGGCCGATGATCCGAACCTTTGAAACGAAGGTACTCACATCTTCTCGAGGGGTAGGCCTCTGCCCAAGTACTGTTTGCCATAGATCTGTCAAGGCGGCATCTAAAGGTATGAGGGGGTTTCCAGAGTGCTGCAAATCGTACAGATCACACGCTGAGATGAAGCTTCGGAAAACGGAGAAGGATCCTTCAGGGCGAGTGGGTCCACCAACTTTATCTGAGTTGTCTATAATGTCGTTGAAATCTCCTGTGAGGAGCCAGGGTACATCTCGGTTGAAGGCAGTTTCTTGGAGTTGGTTCCAGACAAGGAAGCGAGATTTTATCTCCGGTTCTCTATATACAAACATTGCATATGAAGTTATGCCCTCTGAGGTGAGTTTAGTATCAACAAAGTTTTTGCAAGCTGATATCACTTCCATGTCGATTTCTTGTTTCCAGAATAATGCTATTCACCCCCTCCTCGAGCATGAGGAGAAACTAGGTAGTGAGAGTGATAATTCATCCATTGAAGCTTAGTGAGAACGAAATCATCGGAGTTTTTCGTCTCCATGAGGAATAGAATATCAGGGGAGATCGTTCTAAGCATCTCCCGGATTCTGTGAACTGTCAAGGGATTCCCCAGCCTTTGACAGTTCCAGCTCACTCTCGTGGTGGATGGGACGTGGCAGGTTCCTGAAAATCTGATTGGTTCTTCGGGTTTGCCGGAATAGTGGGGCATAAGCGGGCAGCTGTATCAGTTGGTGAAGCAGGTTGTCCATCGACTGTGCTAAGTTTTGGATGAGGGGGTCTTGGGATCAATACTGCAGATGAGGATCCTGCCTCCGTATTACCTTGTCGATTCCTTCCTCGCTGAGTCCTCTTCTTAGGTGATTGCTGTATTTGCTTGAGTTTTATCTTCCTCGAGCTTGTTCCAGTTGGTGTGGTGGTGGTTGTGGGTTATTCTTTTTCTCCGGTGGTCTTCCCAGCTTTTTCCTTACCACTCGTGATTTAGTGTTCTGCTTACTCCTGCTCTGTTGTGCTGAATTCATTGTTTCAGGTTGCTCCAAAGTGGGATTAGCTGCCCATGAGTCCAAGAGGAGCTCCGCTTCCCGAGGGATGGTTGGTAGAACTATCTGTGTCATACAGTTAGCCTCTTCAACCATTCTTGTTGCTGTTTCCAGCATTAGCCCTCGTTCCTCACTTTGCAACACTCTTTGCATTCTTGCAGCACTTTCCAACGGGTTTGCACAATTTGTATACTGGATGGTTACCTCCTGAAGTTCCTCCAGCGCTTTTTCAAGGGTTAGTGTCGGTTGTTGTTGTTTGTCTTGATGGCAGGAAGTTGCCTCCTCGTCCCTTTCAACTGTTATTGGATGTATTGTTTCGACAGCGTTGGGTGCCTTGCATTGGTAGTAGCTTGATGGTGTCCTTGCAGTATCCCTTTGGTTGTGTTGTTTTTCATTATTTGATATCAAAGAGTGGTACGATCCTCTCTCTTCGCTCCTTCTTTCTCTTCTCGGAGGCGGGTTCTTTGTCCTTCTGCTAAGAGCTGTTTGGTATCCAGAGTTTTCTCTTGGCAGTAGGTGGCGGCTTGCTTCATATGTGTTCTCTTCTCTTGGTGGAGAACAACAGTACTCCCCCGTGCGTCTTGGTACTTCTCTGTCAGAGATCTTGTGGTCTTGGTAGTCGTGGGTCTGGTTTTCTCTCTAGCGGTAGTTCCATCGAGATGTAGATCTGTGATGATATTGATATCTTTAATAGGAATGATTTGTATTAGTTCCTCTGTCCTCTGTTTCCTTCATCTCCTGTCGTAGCATCCTACTTGGTGGTAGCGTAGACTTTGGATAGAGGGCATTTAGCTGTTGGGAATCTTTGGCCAGAATTTCCTTTCTGATATTGGTTTCCTGCTGTGCTTGTGGACAGTCTCTTTTCTCATGGGTTAGGCGGTGGCAAATGGAGCAGTGTTTTTCAAGTCTCTTGTATTCCAACAGCACTTCTGCTTCATCACCATTTAAGAATTCCAGGAGAGTTTCCTTGATTAGAGGTTGGAGGTTGTTGACGCAGATTCGAATCTTAGCTGACGTCTTGGTGAGTTATTGTGCTTCATAGGATCCAATACCGCTTCCCAGACTTGTTAACGTGTCAGCCTTCCAGTAGTGCAGGGGAATGCCCTTTACTCGGATCCAGAAGGGGATTTCTGAGGGGAAGTTGGCAGAGATGATCGGCTCCCACCGTTGCAAGATAACCATCCATATGTTAAAGTGGTAAGGTCTGTTCTCTAACACTTTCTCAAGGTCTTCTGCAA